AAATCCCTTAACTCTTTAAATAAAGATCGAATTAGTCCTTTCGTGGAATCATTTTGGTCCATATTTAAAAAGTTAATGAACTAAAATAAGACTTTTAAATAGCCGGGGATCTTTTTTGTTTTTTTGTAAAGAGTTAAATGTTATATAATAATTTAGTATTTCAATTATATTAAAAGTATATTATGAATGAAAAGATGCCATTTTATCATAAAGAAGTGAATATTCAGTTATTTTTTGATGAGATTTAAAAATTTGAGTATGATATGAATAAATATATACGATTTAGATGTTAAACATATAATCACTTAAGAATTCTGTGGCATGTATGTAAATCTCCCTTTTTTTAATCTATTTATTGACAAAAATTTACCTGATTTTACAGAGATGAGATAGCAGGTTGCAGTGAGAAAGCTTATGACTCCCTGTCTGTTGCTGATGCGAAGAAAATTCTGATGTTTTCTTCTGATCAGGAGCTTTCTACTTATATCGAAGAGGTTGGATTTTGTTTGCTGTCGTTTATATTTTTTCCTAATTGCACGGGCGAAGCCCTCTTAGCGATCTGCCAGTATAAACTATCTTGTTCCAGACTTGCAATCGTGTATGGATAGTATACATGTATGACTCTTTGGCATGCTTGGCTGATCTCACAGGCATGGCTAGCTCTTATTAGCGCATATAGTGGCTTCTTTGGCTAGATCGTCTTAGTTCACAACAAAGCCCTACATGGGGTCCTGGTTGGGTACCCATGCTTTACTCAGACAGGCTTTTCCCATCCATGGTGACTTTCGGGATGCCATACCCACCTATACCCACCCACTTTCCATATTTTTTGAACGCAGTCTGCCACGGACTGATGACATTGAGGCTTGTTGCCTTTTGCTTTGATTGCAAACTTTCAAGCCGTATATTAGAATTTATCATAGTTACAGCGTGGTTAAGTGCTGCACATTATATAGTAAGGATTGCAGTAATATAAGATATACGGTTCACCAATGTAAATCGATTTATCCCCTAATGTTGAGTATACACCCATACCCACCTACAAGGCCATGGGCGTATATGGGTGGGTACATGGGTGTGTTGGTATGGGTACTCAATGCAAGGCTCTGGGTCACAGTGGCCGAGTGGCTCCACTTGCAAGCCATGTGCCAACTAATGATGCCATGCGTTGCCCAGTTGTTTGTGATTTATTTGCTCATTTATCCTCATAAAAAAATCAATCGACAAGCTGAATATATTTCATCATCTGCAAAAAAAAAAAAAGTTTACATTTAAGATTTGGAAAAGAAGGAAATCAGTCGCAGGAGATTTCCTTTATCACCTGTAGTCATTCAAGTTCCATGGATTTTTATGCCTCCATTTTATATAGTTGATGAAATATTTTTCTTTTTTCTGCTTTTAGGATCATCCTGAATGGGAAATCAAGAATGGCTTTGTGTTCTTTCAGAAAGCTAAAGATTCGCAACCGTGCAAGGAGATACCTTCTTTGCAACTGATCAACCAGACATTAAGCTATGCAAGAGAGCTGGAGCGGATTGTTTGAAGCTTTCACCACAACATAATTTAGTTTTCACTGACGCTTCAAAATGCCAGAGCTGAAATCTATATTCTGGATTATTTTCTTCTTCGCAAGTTCTCTTTAATTCCTTTTATTTATCCAAATGATGATCAGAATCTGATTTTGCAACTTAGAAAAGCTTTATTTTTTTCATGCAACTATGGTAAATTCACATTAATGTGATGATTCTATGTTACAGAATGTTGTGCTCAAGTGACTAAGAGTTTTAATATTTCTTAATTACGGGATTTAGCTACTTAATCAGGTGTTTATGGAATTGTTTATAGTTTGGATATGCTGAATGTGTGATGCATTAGATAGTCTCCATTATAAACAATGGTAAGCACAAATATTATTTGAGTTTTTTTTCTACAATTTAGATTATGGTAATTATTTTTATTGAAATTAAAATATGCTCTTTACTAGGAAATTCTTACTAGCATTAGGTTTATGCAAATGAGATACATAGAAAAACAAGTTCTATATGATGTTTAACATACCAACATAGATCCAAACATATCAATCCATACTTTTAGAAAGACAATGCACTGTTCTCTAAGAGAGATTCGACCAAGTTTATTTACTGATTTAGAGCCCTAATTTAGGTTTGGTTTGGGATGATTTTTTTATTGCTTTTTAAAATAATTTTTAATATAAAATTAAAAAATTATATTAAAAATTATTTTAAGAAGCAAAAAAAATTATCCCATATTCAGAGATCTACCATTGCATGCCCAAGGAACAAATTTTTAGAGCTTCAACGCATGCATGCATAAACTCTGTTATTAAGGTCAGATAATTAAAAAAAATAAAAAAAGGTCAGATAATTAAATAAATTGGCCAGATTAGATGTTTGATTGGATCCAAATTTGGATTAATCCCACCCAGATAAGCAGATTAAAGGCTATGAACAGTTCTAATAAGAAAAAGAGGCACTTTTTACTAATCCACAAATAGCTTGAAATAAGGAAAAAGGAAAAAGGAAAAGAAAATTACAAAATAGTGAATAAGTACACCCCCCACCCCACCCCAAGGGAAAATTATTATGTCCGGTATCCGGATTCGTCCGGACACCAATCCAGACGCATCACGTCATCCAAATACACTGGGCCCCAGTAATAATTGGGTGACATGGTGCGTCCGGATTGGATGTCCGGACGTAATAATTCACCCCCAAGAAGACAGCAGAACACACTTCAATGTTGAGCTTTAAAATCTGGGAGAGTTTGTTGGAATTCTCGTGGCTCCAGCACCAGGCATCAGAACTGGACGCTTTTGCCTCAAGTAAACAACTGGGCCACTGATAAGTAGCAGGCACACCATGATGAGCTGGCAAAACATAAGAAAATTACAGGTGAGGTCAGAATAGAAAGTTGGATTAATTGCAAATTCAATTAAAAATATATTATCAATGACAAATCCAAAAAAGAAATTTTTATTGACTCGTTTGGTTGCTTACAGAAAAGATGTTTTAGAATATGCTATCATTTTCATCGAAGTAAAAAAGTTATATTAAATAGGATTTCTATTGTTGTTTTAATATAAAAGTTATATTAAAGTTAGAGAGGCTTTAAAGAAAATGAAGTGCGAAAAATTTTTTGGAAATAGAGGTGTGAAAATGCTTAGGAAATAGAGATATTTCTTAGCTTATGAAAATTTTTAATATTATTTTGAAGACTAAAAAATGTCAGATGATTAGGGAGGGAGTGTATTTATTCATATTTTTAAGAACAAATATGATGCACAAGAGAAAGTGAGAATTATAGACGAATTAAGTTAATGTGTCATACATTAAAACTATAGGAGAGAGTTATGTACACAGATTACAATGTGATATTAATGTTCCTTAAAATCAATTTAAATTCATGCGCGGTATGTCTACTATGGAAGCTATGCATTTATTGAAAGGTTTGATGAAGTATAGAAAGAATAAACAGGATAAATTATATATATAGAAAACATACGCTAAAATTTCAAGAGAAGTGCTCTTGAGAGTTCTAAAAAAGAGATGAGTTAATAATTATTATATTCAAGTCATTAAAGATATAGATGCTCTGCTATTATTTGTGTTCAAGCACAAGGTGATTTGACCAAGTATTTTCCTATTTTAGTTGGATTACATCAAGGATCAACTTTAATCCTATATCTTTTTTGTTTTAGTCTTGAATTTTCTTACTAGACATTTGCAAAAGGATGTACCCAATTGTATTCTTTTTGCTGATGATATTCTTCTTGTTAATAAGACTAAAGATGGAGTTGAAGGAAAACTTGAATTGTGGAGGTCAACCTTAAGAGTCTAAAGATTTTGTTCGAGTATATCTAAAACCGAATACATGAAGTGTAATTTTATAATGGATCTAGTGGGGGGATTGTGACTTTGGGCGATCAAATTATTAATAAGAGTACACATTTTATATATATCGAGTCTATTGTTCAAGATGATGATGAAATAGATGAAGATATTAATAGCACAATTCAGATTGGATGGTTGAAGTGGATGAATCCATCGGGCCGGTTGTGTGACAAAAAAGTATCCCTCAAACTTAAGGAAAAATTCTATAAGATAATGGTGAGACTTGACATATTTTATGACGTAGAATGTTGGCCATTAAAAGAGAAACATGAAATTAAGTTTAGTGTTGTAGAGATGAGGATGCTTAGTGGATGAGTGACTTCACTCTTAGAGATAGAATGCAAAACGAGTATATACGTGAAAAGGTTGGAGTAGCTCCAGTGACAGATAAGATTAGTGAGAGTCACCTTAAGTCGTTTGGACATATAAAACATCGACCTTATGATGACCTAGTTAGGAGTAGATGCGTTAGATTTGACCCAATACCCATGTTAAGAAAGGTAGGGGTAGACCTAAAAAGACATAATTAGAAAATATTAGAAATGACATTTTTTATTAGATTTAAATGAGAATTTGATTCTTAATAGGATACAATGGAGAAGAAATATTCATGTAACCGAACCCACATAGTGGGATAAAGTCTTGTTATTGTTGTTGTATTAAATGGAGTTTATAAAGGAAAAAAAAGAGTTATAATATTCCTATTAAAATTTTGATCAGAATAAGGCTTTCGTTTGGGGCGATTTTCTTGCTTCTTCTTAAAACAATTTAATTTTTATACTAAAATATTGTTTTGAGTAGTAAGAAAGCAGTCCCAAATGAGGCCTAAATCTCAAATCTTTTGAATTTGCTTTATAATAGGCACAATATATATTATTTATGTATTGCACTCATTTTTAAATAAATTAAAAAAATTTTAAGTCAATCCTGACCCCTATTAGTTGGATGTCCTTATACAAGTTTCTTTCATTTAAAAAGAAAAGATTTGTAGCTTTTAAAAAGGTTTGTAGCAGATTTCATCATTTTTAGAACATGTAATCTAACCTCAACCAACCAAATGTGTCCTAAACTTAAACTTATTAACTTTCGAGCTCCATCGAAGTTTGTAGAAGACTGCCCGAAACTCGCAAGAGCTGCTGAATCCTATCAACTATACTAGTCTTCGACTCTTAAGTTCTTTACTAAATTTTCCAAAATCTACCAACAATAGTTTATGAACTGAAGACTGAAACTATAGTTCTACAAGGCAATGAACATTCACAAACATACGATGCTTCGAACTTTAACTATAATAAACAAATAAAACAAAAGCACAGGGAAGAACGACATCAAAGTAAATAAATCAGGCCATAGATTATATTAAGCAATAAAAAATCATAATTTGTTCTGAATTATTCAGAGAGAACAATCGGGATCTCACCATGGTTCACCAGAACCTGACCAAACCTGGCCGCAGACATGCTGGAGCTAGCAGAAACCCGGCAAGATTTGCCGAATTCGCAGTGACTGCGTTTTGATATTTCACTTCTTTTGTCAATGAAAAAGAAACCCTTATTTTACGTTGGTGGAGATCAAAATCCATCTTGATCATAATTTTATCCAATCAAATGAAAGAATATAGCAAATTTTAACTTTTTGTGAAACAAGTTCAATTTATAGGAAATCCAATGAGCTCTAATTATTGTGGTCTCTTGTTTAGACATTTTTTGAAGGGATTCCAACTCTAAGCCTCTTTATTAGAGATAATATTTCTTTAGTTGCACCAGACGAATTCTTAGATTCACAACAATCATAGTACTATAGAACCACCGCAGCAAGACATTAATACCGATAAAAGATAATAATGAGTAATTTTCACCAGGGTGAATTTTCTTTATTTATATGATAATTAATTCTTGGTTAGCAAATATAAGTAACTCATGATGCATGAAGTGTAGAGAACCAGATGAAAGGAACTCTTCATTAACAAACTTGACTAATAAACCAAAAAGAACCATAATCGTTAATTATAAGCCAGCTTGATCACTTAGCTGACCTAAAGGAATGCAAAATTTGAATCAAGATAGGAATATAACAATCTGCATTTTAAAGTAGACGGAGAATTCATACCTCAAAACCAAGAACAGACAAATTTTCTTCACCATCTACTGGTATGCAACTCCTATAAGTAATATAACTCTGCTTCCCACTTTCTGATGTAGAAGAATCATTCATAAGCTTTCTAAACTTTAAATTCCTTACAGAGGCAACCAGTTGTTCTCGCATAACTGAACCAGCCATGTTGCCTGATTGAAAGAGGAGCTTCCTTTGGTTCTTACTTTTGGATTCCTCTGTAGAAACATCTCGAGTTTCTACACATTTTAAGGGCAACCGATACCCAGTCTCACTACAACGAAACTTCTCATCATTCTAAAATAAAAGATTAGGAATAGTTGTAAGAACATGGAAAAGTAAAAGCTAAACTTTAAGTGAATCATATGGTTTAATAAAAGAGAACATAATTTTTTTCCTTTAAGATAAAAGAAACATTAACCATCTAAGTACAGGCTAGGAAACCGTTTCTTAGAATACTGTGAATCATCATCTTGCTAATGAATAGTCTTATCTAAGCTATTTAAGGTTGCTTATGAATCCTTCTTCACCATTTATTTGTTTTTTTATTTCACTTGGTAAAC